GTGTGACCTTTGACAAATTACATTGCAAATTATATTCATCTCAGTTTCCTCACTTGAAATGAATGAAGTTAACAACACTAACTACCAATAGGGTCTTTTTGAGGATTAAATGAATAATGCATGCATTTCCAAGCTGCTGTGCTAACCATTCAGTTATCTAGTCACTATGTACAGTGTGAGCAAATGGTCCCTGATAGCCCTGTTCACGGGCCTTCCCTGGTAGCTCAACTGGTAAAGAATCCATCAGCAATGCAGGAGACCCTGGTTCGAATCCTGGGTCAGGAAGATCCCCGGGAAAAAGGATAGGCTACCCATACCAGAATTCTTGGATTTCCCTGATGGCCAAGATGGTAAAGAATCCGCCTGCAATGTGGGAGACCTGGGTTTGATCTCTGGGTTGGGAAGATCCCGTGGAGGAGGGCATGGCAACCCACTCCTGTATTCTGGCCTAGAGAATTCCATAGACAGAGGAACCTGGTGGGCTACAGTCCATGGGGTCATAAAGAGTCAGACACGACTGAGCGACTAAACACAGCACAGTCCTGTTCATATAGCACACACTGCTGGAGATGATGCTTATTACCTACTTCTTTTGCCAGGGGAGGAGCTTCCATTAGAGCAAGTGTTCTTAACCTGGGGCCCAATGACATTTCCAGGGGATCCATGAACTTAATGAGAAAAGAAAATGCTTAGTGCTTTATATGTTTATATTCTCTGATCTCTAAGTGAGATGTATTATTTCCCACAAATGACTCAGATAACAGACCACAGTAGTATTAACAATGTCTGTGTCTTTGAAGCAAATTAGAAATCACAGGTGTTTTCATTTACTGCAGATACCTCAAAATACCATTCATGCTCAGCACTTCTTTGAAATTATGATAATTGTTAGTTCTGCTAAATCTTATTATTTAATACATTAACAAAGAAGCATATTTATTATGTATTATTTATATATATATACATGTATATTATTATATATGTATTATATATATACTTTCAGGGTTGTATTTTAGTACAGTGGGCTTCCTTTGTGATGTCATATACTTTATGCACATAAAAATGTTATTCTGAGAAATGATTTATAACCTTCACCAAATGCCAGAGGCCTCTTATCCAGGGATTAAGCTCTTCATCAAAGTAAACTTGGACTTTCACTGCCCACTCATTTCCCTCTGAGAGAGCCAGACCCACGGGGAGGGTCTGTAGATCTCCAGCCCTGCCTGTGAGTGAGTGGAAGAATCTCTCTAATACAGGGCACAGTATTAGAAAACCTGCTTGGTCTAGATCTCAATTATGTCTTTGAATATATGAGCATAACATATAAAGAGAATATATCAACATTCAGCTGAGTACTGAATCTTTCTCCTTCAAATGGTCAGAAACACCAACATATAGCTAAGTGACAGATGGTAATCTGTCATTTCATCCACATGTTTTGAGGTCTTTCCAATCATATGATGAGCCCAGTGGGGACAAGTCCATGTCTTGCCCTCAGTGGGCAGTGGAGAGGGTAGTATGTTAAATGACGTGGTCTCTGACCCCAGGAGGCTTGGGTCCAACTCTGGGCTCTGATACTTCATAGCTGGCTGACCAAGAGAAAATTATTTCAGTACCCATGCTTGTTTCCTCATCTAACTGTACCTTCCTTGCAAAGACTGAGTGAATTAAAACAGGTAAAAACAGAATAGTGCCTAGCAGAAAGTAAGAACAGAGGGGAAAATTTTGTTTTTTAGAGCCTAGGTGTTTCTCAAAATGCAATTAAAGCAGCTAAGTTTTACATTTTCCCTGCAGATCAAATACTGAAGTAATGGAGTTGAAGCATTATTTTATTAGATTTTGTAGGAAAAGACATTTAACTATCTAAAACACTACTAAGACTGTCAATGTTGTCTTCTCCTTTGCCAGTAAGAATAAACAGTTTTCTCTAAGGAACAGGGGGTCGTGGTGCTATTTCAGGAAGCAAAACACAGCAAAAGCCAACAGGCCAATATTGGTATCTGCTGAGAGGTGGCAAAAGTAAGAACAGGGCGTTGCAGATAGTCTGTCTAGCAAGAAACCTAATATGCTTCTGTTAATTTAAAGAAATAGTAATAAACAAAAGTTTCTTAGGATTCTTTTCCTCAAGATTTCTCAAAACAGCAATCTAGAATTGAATGATAGATTTTTAAATTTATCACTTATAAACAAGTACAAATCCTCTGTGCAGATACACATACCCAGATTTCATGAGCTGGGCAATATTTTCTCTCTGGAGTCCTATTTCCATCATTTCTTTGGTTTATGTCCCGACATCCAACTTGTGGCAGGGGCATAAGTCACTAAAACCTTGAATCTTCTGCTATTCCCATTTTCTCTGTCGTGTACTCATCTTTAGATATGTAACATTCATTATTCTATTGAGACTTTATCATACAGGGAATCTAGCTTAAATTGCTGATAGATAAAATTACATGACTTTTGGATGAGACCTACATTCTAAAGAGGTATTTTTCTTTGGTATCTGCATTCTCCCTGTCCCACCTGGGGCCTCATACAGTACAAGGTACATGGGAAGTCCTCTCTACACAGCTGTTTGAATGAAGACACCCTCTGGGATTTTATTTCCAGGAGTACAGTCTTCATCAGTGTGGCAGTTGCTTTGAATTACCAACCTTGGTGAGGACCATTAGAAGGAAATAAACAAAGACCACCAAACAGTAATCTGAAACAAAGCTGCATTTATTTGCTTGTCTGGGAAGGGAGCAGGACTTCAGCTGGTGTCACCATGTAGCACTTGAAAAGATCAGTGAGGACACAAATTCTGATTTCTGGTGTCTGGTTGGCTCACAAGACTGAGCATAAACTCTTCTTTGCAATTGGCCATTGCACTGCTTCACTCCTTAACAGTGCAGGCATCATTCCCGGAGATGTCCAGTGTGGGCTGCATGAAGCTCTAATGGACTCAGGGTCACTCCACTGGCCTCTCTGCGTTGTTGGCTTCAAGCTGACCAAATCTTTCCTTAACAGGATCTGTAGCACATTAGTACAGCTGGATTGATCAAGTAAGACCCGCCTGTTATCTGTCTCTTCGCTCATCTCTTTTGGAACTGCCAGACCAAACTTCCTTTACTTTGTTAGGGCGAAAGGCATATATGCATACTTAGAAAAAATAATTTTATAAGAAAGTTCTCCTTCAAAGTTATAAGAACAAAATATAAGAGGCATTCAGATACTTGTACACAAATGTTCAGAGCCACACTATTCACAATGGCAAAAGGTGGGAACAACTCAAATGTACATCAACACATAGTGGATAAACAAAATCTGGTGTTCACAAACAAGAAAAGAGTATTCAACCCTAAAAAGGAAGGAGGTACTGAGACCTGTGCCAACTTGGATGAACCTCGAAAACAGCATGCCAAGTGAAAGACTCCAGACAGCAAAGGTCAGATAGTCTCTGATTCCGTTTTTAGGAAAAATGGAGAATGGGGAAGTCCATAGAGAAATAATCTAAATCAGTGGTTTTCTGGGCTGGGGGAGAGGAAGCTTGGAAGAGTGCTGAATGGTGCAGAGATTTCCCTTGGGGGAATGAAAGTGTTTTGAAAATAGAAGCTGTGAGTGCACAACACTGTAAATGGAGTAAATGCCACTGAATTGTACACTTTAAAATAGCTGATTCTTACGTAAACTTATCACAATAAAAAAAAGGGGGAAAGAAAGGGATGAAATAAACAGAAAAGTTCAGGGATCTTTTGAGCCCCATTGAAACAAGAAAGAAGGAAGAAAATAGAGAAGAGGAAGAGGGGCGGCTGACCAACAGGTGATCACTCAGCAAGAGACAGACAGAAAGGAAGGGGGCAGGGGGACGTCACCTCAAATGTAACAAGGTTGAAAACACCTGAAAAACAAACAAACCGACTCATTTCCAAACGTTTAGCTATTTACCTTCTGCAAACAACCCAGGGATGTCAAAAATGTCAATGATTTTATAGGGAGACAACCACATCCCAGAAGTGCCTTTTCACAGCTGCAGCCTGGAGGACACGACCTGGGCTGGGGACAACCATGCAAGCAAGTGCCCCGCCCCCTGCAGCACACCTGGAGGGGGCCCAGGGCCTCAACATTAAAGTGACAAGATCAATTTTGGGTACGTTTAGCTTTTTCTCCCCCAAAATGTGTAAAAATTGCATTTCACACACTGTGCAAAAACTTAAACAAATATGGAAGTGCATTCTCTTCTGAAGGATGTTTCTGATATTTCATAGGCAACTTCACTGTAGATTACATACCGTGAGACCCTCTGTGAAAAGCGATGACCTTCCTGTGGCATGCTAACAGGGATGGACCTTGAAGTCAGGATGCTCAGTGAAGTGAGCCCCTCACCAAAGATGACAACTGCAGGACCCCACTTCTAGGAAGAATCTACCGCAGCCAGACTCAGAGACCCAGAAAGTAGAGGGCTGGGGTGGGGGCTGGGGGAGAGGGAACCGAGAAGTTGGTGCTCCTTGGGGAGAGAAAAGAATCTGTGCAAGCAGAAAAGAGTCCTAGAGATGTGTTGTACAACAAGGTGAGTCCACCGAACACCAGTGAGCTGGACACGTAAAATGGTGAAGATGCCACAGTTCATGTGTTAGTAACTCATCTAAAAAGTTAAAAAACAGTCATCTTGTTAATACTAATTTTTACTTTCTTGGTATTTCAGCTTTATTGCCTGAGAGAAATAACAAGGCTTCAGGAGTTTAAACTGACCCTAGTTTGGGTCTGGATACGCTTGAGAACATCACAAAAAAAATAACTGTCCACAACCACCACCAAAGCCATGGCTTAGGTGAAATAATCCCAGTTTATTAAAGACCTTCGGGGCTTGTATGTAAAAATTGTGCCTCTGCAGAAGGTCTGCACACCTAAGAATGTAAAATAGTGACACATTAAAAAATAACCCAAGTGAGGTTGACACTCGGGATTCATTTGATTTTTGCCCTTGGGATTTTTTTTAAAGAGAGAAAACCAGACAGGCCTCAGGGCTTGGGGGCGGCTGGGGGGCCTCCCTCTGGGGTCCCTGCGGTCTGGCTGCCTGAATTGGGGCCCCGAGGGGGCGGCGCAGTGGGGGCTGTGGGGTCTGCATCCACTGGGCACCGCATTATCCTCCAGTAAATCGGCTGGCGCAGTTCCGTCAAGGCCTGGATCCTGTGATGCAAGATCCTCAGTACAGGGTGGCTCTGGACAGAGCCTGGTGGAGACAACCCAGGCACCCGGTGCTGCAGGGGGTCCTGCTGCCGTCGGAGGTGAATGACCATTGTTGGCTGGGTGCGGACAGTGACATTGGGCCAGGCAGTGCCCAGTGCCCCTAGAGCCTGTAAACCCGAACACTGTGGTCCTGAGGCCTGTGCCCGTGGGGTCTCTGCCCCTGGGATCTGTGGCCCTGAGGCCTGTACCCATGGGGTCTCTGCCCCTGGGGCCTGTGCCCCTGGGATCTGTGGCCCTGAGGCCTGTGCCCATGGGATCTGTGGCCCTGGAGCCTGTGGCATTGAGGCCTGTGCCCGTTGGGTCTCTGCCCCTGGAGCCTGTGGCCTTGAGGCCTGTGCCCGTTGGGTCTCTGCCCCTGGAGCCTGTGGCCTTGAGGCCTGTGCCCGTGGGGTCTCTGCCCCTGGAGCCTGTGGCATTGAGGCCTGTGCCCGTTGGGTCTCTGCCCCTGGAGCCTGTGGCCTTGAGGCCTGTGCCCGTGGGGTCTCTGCCCCTGGAGCCTGTGGCATTGAGGCCTGTGCCCATGGGGTCTGTGCCCCTGGGATCTGTGGCCCTGAGGCCTGTGCCCGTGGGGTCTCTGCCCCTGGAGCCTGTGGCCCTGAGGCCTGTGCCCGTGGGGTCTCTGCCCCTGGAGCCTGTGGCCCTGTGGCCTGTGCCCGTGGGGTCTCTGCCCCTGGAGCCTGTGGCATTGAGGCCTGTGCCCGTGGGGTCTCTGCCCCTGGAGCCTGTGGCATTGAGGCCTGTGCCCATGGGGTCTCTGCCCCTGGAGCCTGTGCCCCTGGGGTCTCTGCCCCTGGAGCCTGTGGCATTGAGGCCTGTGCCCGTGGGGTCTGTGCCCCTGGGATCTGTGGCCCTGAGGCCTGTGCCCGTGGGGTCTCTGCCCCTGGAGCCTGTGGCCTTGAGGCCTGTGCCCGTGGGGTCTCTGCCCCTGGAGCCTGTGGCCTTGAGGCCTGTGCCCATGGGGTCTCTGCCCCTGGAGCCTGTGCCCCTGAGGCCTGTGCCCGTGGGGTCTGTGCCCCTGAGGCCTGTGCCCGTGGGGTCTGTGCCCCTGGGATCTGTGGCCCTGAGGCCTGTGCCCGTGGGGTCTCTGCCCCTGGAGCCTGTGGCCTTGAGGCCTGTGCCCGTGGGGTCTCTGCCCCTGGAGCCTGTGGCCCTGTGGCCTGTGCCCGTGGGGTCTCTGCCCCTGGAGCCTGTGGCATTGAGGCCTGTGGCCGTGGGGTCTCTGCCCCTGGAGCCTGTGCCCCTGGGGTCTCTGCCCCTGGAGCCTGTGGCATTGAGGCCTGTGCCCGTGGGGTATCTGCCCCTGGAGCCTGTGCCCCTGGAGCCTGTGTCCCTGAGGCCTGTGCCCGTGGGGTCTGTGCCCCTGGGATCTGTGGCCCTGAGGCCTGTGCCCGTGGGGTCTCTGCCCCTGGAGCCTGTGGCCTTGAGGCCTGTGCCCGTGGGGTCTCTGCCCCTGGAGCCTGTGGCCTTGAGGCCTGTGCCCATGGGGTCTCTGCCCCTGGAGCCTGTGCCCCTGGAGCCTGTGCCCCTGAGGCCTGTGCCCGTGGGGTCTGTGCCCCTGAGGCCTGTGCCCGTGGGGTCTGTGCCCCTGAGGCCTGTGCCCGTGGGGTCTGTGCCCCTGGGATCTGTGGCCCTGAGGCCTGTGCCCGTGGGGTCTCTGCCCCTGGAGCCTGTGGCCTTGAGGCCTGTGCCCGTGGGGTCTCTGCCCCTGGAGCCTGTGGCCTTGAGGCCTGTGCCCGTGGGGTCTCTGCCCCTGGAGCCTGTGCCCCTGGAGCCTGTGCCCCTGAGGCCTGTGCCCGTGGGGTCTGTGCCCCTGAGGCCTGTGCCCGTGGGGTCTGTGCCCCTGAGGCCTGTGCCCCTGAGGCCTGTGCCCGTGGGGTCTGTGCCCCTGAGGCCTGTGCCCGTGGGGTCTCTGCCCCTGGAGCCTGTGGCATTGAGGCCTGTGCCCGTGGGGTCTCTGCCCCTGGAGCCTGTGGCCTTGAGGCCTGTGCCCATGGGGTCTCTGCCCCTGGAGCCTGTGCCCCTGAGGCCTGTGCCCGTGGGGTCTGTGCCCCTGAGGCCTGTGCCCGTGGGGTCTGTGCCCCTGAGGCCTGTGCCCGTGGGGTCTGTGCCCCTGGGATCTGTGGCCCTGAGGCCTGTGCCCGTGGGGTCTCTGCCCCTGGAGCCTGTGGCCTTAAGGCCTGTGCCCGTGGGGTCTCTGCCCCTGGAGCCTGTGGCCTTGAGGCCTGTGCCCATGGGGTCTCTGCCCCTGGAGCCTGTGCCCCTGAGGCCTGTGCCCGTGGGGTCTGTGCCCCTGAGGCCTGTGCCCGTGGGGTCTGTGCCCCTGAGGCCTGTGCCCGTGGGGTCTGTGCCCCTGGAGCCTGTATACCTGAAGGCTGTTCTGCCGGCTGCCGATGACTCACGGGGCAGGGCCGCGGTGAGGGCTGCTGGAGAGGCAGCGGGTAGAGGTGCAGCTGCGAGGCCAACTTCTGGAAGCTCCAGACCACCGACCCCTGGGGGGGCTGCACCAGAGTAAAGGGCTTCAGATCAGAAGCGTCCTTCAAAAGCACCTGACCTGTTCTGGGAGGAGGAGGAGAAGGAAGAGAAGCAGGTCGAAGAGGCCCCGGTGGTGCTACGGGCTGCAGGTTCAGTGGCTGAGCTGCGCTCTGCTGGCCCGGCTGGATCCCCACGGGAGCGGGGGCCCTAGGGGCACACCCTCTCCCTGAGGCCTGGCTACGGCAAAAGGGGCCCACTACTTTGATGACCTTCAGGCCAGGGGAGGTGCTCATGACCCGGACGTCCGGGGTTCTTTGTAATGCGCCTATGGTGGACGGGGAGGCTGCAGGAAGCCAGCTTCCTCTGTTCAGCGGCACAGACGATCTCTGGGAAAGGCTGGGTGGCTGAGGAGCAGCGCCAGGAGATGGGCGGGCCTGAGAGCTGCCCGCCTGCTGTGAGGTAAAGCTGTCACCGCAGGAGCTCTTCTCTGGGCTCTTGAGTGGGGGTGGAGGTCTGGCTACCCAGTCTGGCACTGAGGACTGAATGGACACAGCCCTAGGCTGTGCTGACTGTGTCCCTGGAGCAGGCTGCCTGAGACGGGCTGAGCCACTGGAGCTGGGTGACGTCTGCACTGGACACTGGGTGCTCTTCTGGACCAGTTGCTCAGACTGACTGACCACTCTCCCAGCATCAGTCTGTGGCTTGGACAGGAAACTCCTGAAGTGGTCATCTGTGGAGGACTGGGGCAGACTCGGCTCTCTCTCCCTTGTGGCTTCTTTCTCAGACCCGTTTCCAGTGGCAAGTGACTTATCAGCTGGCTGCCTGACGGTCAACCTTGTTGCCTGGGATTGGTAGGCAGCCTCACATCCAACTGCAGGATCACCTAGTACCTCCTGGGTTAGTTGTGACTCCTCATATCTGACAGACTTCTTCCCTTTAGCATATTTCTGCACATCCACTTGAGAAGGGACAGCCAAGTTACAGGGTCTCTGTTTCCCCGTATCTACACGAGTGCCTGCTTTAGAAATTTTGAGGTCATACAGTTGATTTGCTTTACTTTCTCTTATATTTTTGCAAGAAGTCGGGATTCTTAGCTCAGGAGGAGGTGGACAATGGGACAGCTCCTGCTGCCGATTCAGAGCAGGTGCGGAATACCTCTTGAGGCTCCTTTTCATGGGAAGAGTGTTCAGCTTTTGTTTGTTATAGAGCAGTCTGTTTGCAGTGCAGGCTACTGATACAGAAGGGTCTAGACACAGTGGTTCCGCTGTAGCCAAGATCAGTTGGCTCTCAAGCAAAAGTTTGTCCTCCTGGGTCCAGTTCTGGTCATCGCCGGCTATGGCCTCTACATCACAGACTAACGTCTGCATGGTGGGACGTAAGAGAATATGCCTGCTTTGGTAACGCGGAGGTTCCCCAGCACTGGACTGCCTGTAGTCCCGTATCTCTGCTATGACACACCCCTGATGAAAAACGTTAACTGCAGACTTATCCAGGAGATCCACCAAAACAGGAGGTAATTCTTCAGCATCCAAATATTTGAGAAATTCCCGTTCTTCATAAGGCAGTCGAATGCTCTCTGAAAGTGATCCATCTTCTCCCTTGAGCATCAGGGAATAGCCCTGCTTTCCTGGGTACAGGTTGACCACCAAACAGGGCAACGACTCTCTCCTAAGGAGCTTCTGTAACAGGTTCACGTTGCTTCTTAATTCCTCCGTACCCTCAGGCTCTTCTTCACATTCTTCAACATAAATGTCATACAGTTTTTCCTGGAGAGACGTCTCTCCGCTTGTTGAGTATTTCCTTTTCGGCGGTCTTTGTTGGGCAGTTGCAATGACATACTCTGCACGATCCAAAGCTTGGTCTAGAGCTTGTTGCATTATCTTACAAGATGGGGACCCTGTTAAGAAGAAAACATGTAAGTGAGCGACGAACCGAGAGAAATCTCTTACCTGAAGTATTGATGTGCAGTCTCGCAAACGCAGCCACTCCACTGTGGAGTGAGCAGCGTACCTCAAAATGAACACCAAGAAACCCGCCCCCGCCACCACCCCCAACAAGCATCGTGCCAAATACCTGCGATTTGGGGAAATCCAGCGCTGGTCTAACTTCGTGCTCCTGCAGATGGACCGGAAGTGGATGGAAGCGGTTCCACATGCCCCCCCACCCCCGGCCCAGCGCCCCCTAGGTGCACATGCGCAGGTTGCAGATTCTGGTCTCATCATTCAATTACCTCCTGGACGCCCGGCCTGCAGCCAGCACTTCCGGGTCTGAAACCGCACTTGTGCCAACTGCTGGGTGGCGACAGGCCCTCTTCATGTAAACTTGAAAGCAAGCATCCCAAACTACAAGTGGCCAACGTAAACATCCATCATTTTTTTGTATGGCTTTAATACACACCAATTTTCATGGTAATCAGTTGCTGGGAAGGTCATGAAAAGTGGTCGTATCTTTCCTTAGCGATCATGTCACCAAAATTTACCCACTGTTTTAGGAGTCATTTGTTTGTTCCCAAGGGCAGGACTGCTCCTGGTGTCCATCGCCAGTTTAACATACTCAGTTCCTACCTCTTGACTCCAGGGACACTTGCTGTATTTGGCGCAAGCATCAGAATTCTTCAATGACTCTTCCCGTGATCTGCCTGATGCTTTTCATAGAGATGTGCACGGTAACACGACATTCTTTTATTCCCTTTTATTTCCCTAGCTATTTCAGAAAGGGCTTTTAGCGTGTGGTAGCTAAGTTATATTGTCTAGCAATTGCAGTTCAGGATTAAACTGTTTTAAAAGGTGGTTTGTGTCTGATAGGGTTGAGAACTATTGTTCCTGGTGCTGGCAGGACAGTTTAAATGATTACTCTAACTGTAGACCATAACTACGGTCCTAGGGATGGTTTAGAAGGATATGACTGAGTCCTAGACACTTTATGGGCCATTGTTTTCTATTAATATTGTTGCCTTGAAATCTGCCAGCCTTTTGAACAAGTTTTTTTTTTTAAACCTTTTGATGTTTAGATTTAGACATAATGATAATAGGATATTCACTCTGAAGAGTCACAACTGAGAAGAATCCAAAATCAATTGGTGAAACTCCTGAATTACAGACTACTATAAAATAAATGTTTTTCTGACCAATAGCAATTATGATAATTACATATTACAGTAGATAGAATCTATTGAAATAGGACTAATAACTCCTTGACTAAGAGTTCCTGAAGTATGTCCCTTGTTCAGGACTGGACAGGAATCATTGTCTCCTGGCATGTCAGTTGTCTTGGGGCAAATGTATAAGTCATCCCTTGGTATCACCAGGTGATTGGTTTCAGGACCCCCTGCCCACCCCCCTGCTTTTAGGGATGAGCCAACTGCCCAGAGCCAGGTCCTCTGACTGTTGTGTGTTCTCTGCCAGGGGCTCTCAGTCTTGGCGCTAGTGACATTTGTTAGGGGGGACTCTCCTGGGCACCGCTAGATGCTTGCTAGCATCCCTGGCCTTATCCACTAGATGGCAATAGCTTTCATCCCTGTCGGAAGAACAAAACATGGCTCCAGGTATTGCCTGATACCGTTGAGGGGGGGGCGCATATCTTTCCCTGGGTTCGGAACCCTGAGGTCCCCTGCTCTGTAAACCATGAGCTTGATCCCACTCAGCCCCTCAGCTGATGTCCCCGGGTACCCCTCTCTCAGTAGAGAGGTGTATCTGCCCCCTCTCCTCTGGGATGGACTAGAGGCTCAATTGTTGTGGTGACTGTGTCTTCGGGCGGGGTCCCCAGGAGCCATCCCTGACAAGAGGATTCGAGTGCAAGGAGTTTATTTGGAGTTCATCCTGAGAAACTCTGGGCAGGGGAAGGGCAGCTGAGTCAGGACTGAGGAAGAAGGTGATAAAAGGCACAGTCAGGAGCAGAAGGCTGCTGGGGACAGCTGGTGCCTGCTGCGGGGCTTTGGGAGACCGTGCCGAACAAGCGTCGGGTGGTCCTACCTAGAGGCACAGAAGCTGGGATGCATATCATCCACTCCTCTCTCTCATCGGCCGAGGACGGTCCTGGGGGCCGGATTCCCGATCCCTCTGGGTTGCCACATACGAGTGCTGCCATGCTACTGTGGCTGGAATGCCCTCAGCGAGCGTCAGGAGTGTCTGCGGTGAAGCTCAGCGCTCGTGTCCAGGATGCCAGTACCGCGGGGGCAGGGGCAGGGCCCTGGCAGCATGGGCTCCGCCTGTGGCTGCAGAGAAGTGGAAGCATTCGGCCATCATTCTCGATGATGCAGAGAGTGTGCCATGTAACGTATCCGCGCACGTGGACACATGAGACTCTTCTGCCTCCAAGCGAAATGGGTGATTTCACGTGAGGTTTTGTCAGCTGCGACAGCCTACCAGGCCGACAGTGGAGAGTGCGATCCTCGCCTTACTCCTCAGGGGGACGACCCCCAAGGCAGTCTGGCCACATGTGCACTGGCTGAGGCTCTGGGCCCAGCCGTGCGTGTGTCCCAGTGAGCTCCGGTTGGCCTGCCAGGGCTTCTCATGGCTCAGCCACCCCCTACCCCTGAGCTCCCTAATTGCCCGGTCTTTCCACTGGATGAAGGTTTTTGAAATTTTTCGCAGTGCACACCATCCTTGAAGTCTTCAAAACACATGCACGAGCATGAGTATAAGGACTCCAACTGCTGCTATCCCCTACAGCAGACACAGATGCACATGCTGGGAAAACCCATGGCTAGATTAAGACGTGCTGGAGGAGGAAGAGAACTAATTGCAAGAAAAGTTACCTAATTTACAGTAGTCAGCTCGTCTGTTCTCCACCCACTGAGGTCTAGGTCTAGGTTTTTACCACCTCTTCCCTGCTGCAGGGAATTAGATGGACCAGGCAGAGCCTTGGTTCTGCAGACATCACAGATTGCAGAAGGTGATGAGACATTTTTTGTTGGTCTCATCCAGTTTTTTTTTTTTTTTCTTGTGGGATCTTAGTTCCCCGACTGGGGATCCAGGTCTCATCCAGTTTTAATCCTCCATCACTCGTGTTGAGACTTCATGTGTTACCCTGTGATCAGGTCCCAGATTCAATAAAGCAAATCCCAGGGAATGTTGTAGCTCTGTGAGATTATGTGAGCGGAGATCACTCCCACAGCCTCTTACATCATTCTGTCCTGCCACATCTACTAGTTGTTTCATGGATCTAAGAACTTCTCAGAGCCCGTAAGTGTTGCACTGCATATTTCTTTTTTCTTGAACTGTCTCTCCCCTTCCACCTTTCCCCACTTGTGTGTCTTTTTATCAGTTTACTGAAATTGGATGTTTTTCTGGTTTTATTGCTCTGTTATACACTCCTTGAGATAAATAACCATAGCCTGAGTCATGGTTTCTCAGCCTCTGCTTGTTGTCATTGTTGCAGGGGACTGTCCTGGGCAATGTCGGGCGTTTAGTAGCATCCTTGGCTTCCCTGATGGCTCAGCGGTAAAGAATCTGATTGCCAAGCAGGAGACTTGGGTTCAATCCCTGGGTCGGGAAGATCCCCCAGAGGAGGGCATGGCAACTCACTCCAGTATTCTTGCTTGGGAAATCCCATGGACAGAGGAGCCTGGTCAGCTACAGTCCATGGGGTTGCAAAGAGTTGGATGCGAGTTAGCTACTACACAACAAACAAACAAGCATCATGACCCCATGGTATCACAAAACAGTTGGGTTTGGAGAAATGAAGCGGCAATCTACAAACCACAGAACACTTCAAATCTTAATTTCTAGGACAGCTCAAATGATTCGATGTGACTTTTAACTTTTTTGTTTGTGTTTTGCTGCGATTAATTTTATGGTTGGCCCCAAATTATCTTGCTAATTCTCTAAAATTTCCATTGGACCAAATTAATATGTAGAGTCTCTGGCTAATAGGAGAGATGCAAACAAAAATATCATTAGATCTTTAGAAAGTAGATTTTCAGAAACATACTAGCAGAGATTTTCCTTTTAATTTCATCTGCCTGATAACAGTCACTAACAATTTCCCAATTTTTCAGCTTTATTCCACAATTGAGAATTTTTGCTTATTTTAATAATTTTTCTTTGATCTTCACTCAGTATTTGCTCTTTCAGTGTATGTTCTCTGCGCTTCATTTTGCTTTCATAATGTCAGACCGTCCCTGAACTCACTCCTTCCCTCACTTTTCTCTGTTTACAGTCAGTACTTCAGTGATTTCATCTAGGCTCATGGCTTTAAAACATAGATGGTTTCTCAGTTTATATCTCCAGCCTGGACTTCTCCCCTGAACTACAGACTCATATCATCAAATTTCCTATTAAAAATCTCTACATGGTTGCCTAATAGGAATTTTAAATTTAATATGCCCAAACCGAACTCCTGATCTGCTACCCAAACTTGTTTGTTTGGCAGTGAAACATTAGAGTTCCTGGCTCAAAAAACAGCTCTCCTCTGGTATCTCCTTGATACCTGAAATTTTGAGTCAAAGTTTTTTTTTTAATTTTAATATGTGCTGCTTTAATGTTTAAATTTTTGTTTATTGTTGACTATGTTGGGTCTTTGTTGTTGCGTGCGGACTTTTTCTAGGTTTGGCCAGTCAGGACTGCTCTCTCATTGCAGTGCACAGGCTTCTCATTGCAGTGGCTTCTTGTTGCAGAGCACAGGTTTTAGGTGCACAAGATTTAGTAGTTTCAGCTTGTAGGCTCTAGAGCTGGGGCTCAGTAGTGGTGGTGCATGGGCTTAGTTGCTCCAGGCATGTGGAATCCTCCTGGACCAGGGATCGAATCTGTGTCTCCTACCTTGATAGGCAGACTCCCATCCACTGTACCATCAGGGAAGTCCCAAAGTTTTTTACTAGGAGAACCATGGACGGGTTTTAGAAGGTCCTTGAACTTTCTAAAACAGTAGATGAACTTTA